AGTGAACGCCACCACATCAGGATGATCAAGGCAAAACCCCTAGAAAATCTGTCATATAACTGTTATCCATTTATAAGCATTTAGAGCATTGCTGTCTGAGTCAAGAAGCAGGAAGAGAAATCAGTTTTGCAGAGCAGAGTTTGGTTGTTTTAATCAAATGGTCATTCACATTTTATATTAATTAAATAATTAATTAATTTTAGCAAATGAAGACAGGGTCACAAAGCAGCATAATTCACCATAAGTTTCTGATTCATTCTTTGAATGCAGGACACAAAGCGTGAGTTTTTGTGGAGCTGTAGCAAGAAGAAAATGCAGCATGGGTACATAGGAAAAATTAAGATCATATCTTTTGCCTCAGTTCCTAAGCACTGGGTTTATGAAATTAATAATGTTCACTAGTATAGGTAACATCTCAGACTATTAAAAGAGAAAATCAGTTTTCCTCCAACATTTTATAGCATGACACTAGTTTAGATCCTTTACGTCTCCAGATCTTCATTTTAAGAGAGGGTAAAGTGATATGAAAGCACTAATTACCAGCCTCTGAGTAGAGGTGTTACACAGGGAGAGACATTTTGAAAGGAGACAGTAAGTCACAGGACAGTCTTGAGCTTCCTTCTGGCTTTGTAACACAGTGCTCACCCGACCAAGCACAGATGCTTTTTCTGCTCAGTCTCATCTTTTCTTTGCCCTGGCTGCTTCACTCACTTCCATCCTCTCTTGACTAATCAGTACCTACTTCTCATTATCTCATCCCTTTCTGTCTGTACAGGATTCTAGTTCTGATCTCACCATCCTCTGACTTCATTCTTCACATGTTCACTCCCCTCGCTCAGAACTCCTTTAATTAATTCACTGTTCCCTGCTGTCTCCCTCTCACGCATCACTTTCCTCAGTCTCTGTCTTCCTTGACTAATAGTCTTTCTGATTTCCATTTTCCCTTTCTAAGTAGCATTAGCTCTTTCCCTCATCTCTCTGCTCCAATGTCCCATCTACCCATCCCTTTGGTCCTTCTGTCATTCTTCTTATTCAGTCCTTCCTAATACATTTTCACCTTCTCTGTCTTTTAGACACAACCAATATGACCTCCTGATCCTCTCAGCTTCCTGCGCCTCCCCACCTGGAGACAGCCATTTCAACATCTGATTTGATGGCTTCAAAGTCTAGGACACTTGGCACCAACAGAAAACTCTTGCTGAGATGACTGATGGCACTTTCTCTGATGAGTGTCACGCTGGTCTCTAGCATCTAGTAACATCTGTCAGAAGAGGTTATTTTTTACTTTACTGCAACTGGGCTTGAACAGCCTCATCAGTTCTAGTGGGATGGCCTGTCGGGGGCTGTCTCTCAGGCACTGTGATTTTGTAGAGGAATACTTCAGAAGTTCTTATTTGTTTGAGAAAAGGTATTGCTTAGTACAAGATTCCCTGAATTGCTCAACACAGGCAAAATAACAATTCCTCACATTCTGGAAAAATGAAATTATTTTGGTAAAGTTTTGCTTATCTTCTTGTTCACAGTGCAAAAGATCCACATTGCATATAAAATTTCAGAGCAAGTGGTTCAAGTCTGGTAGAGTTGCTATAAACAGGTTTTCAACTTAGGTAGCCCTTGGTGCTGTTAAGGGAGAGGAAAAAACATCCTTGCCCAAGCAGCAGTTGCAGGATCTAACTTTCAGAAGTTCAGTTTAACATTGTGTAGACTTTTACCTACCCTCTAACTGACATTATAGTAAATTTTCCTCAGCAAATCTAGTCTTCATCCCTGATTTTCTGTAAAGATACTAATTTTTGTGATACGCATAAAAATATAGCTAGCCACATTAATGCCCAAGTGAAAGAAACAACCAAATGTTATTATTACACAATGGTTATTTGAGCTTGTGCAAAGGCTGAAGTAATTTCACTTTTCTATTTAGAAATCTGGAAAGGATCTTAAAATATGTTACAAAATATGTAAACAGAAGCACTTTCCTGCACAATCATAAACTTGCACTTTTCCAAATAGTTTAGAACTTTCCCACATTTGACATAAAGCATTTGGTCTAAAAGATCTTGGCCTTGAAAACAGCTGTCACCCTCATGAAGCACCAGAAGGTCTAACAAGGTTCAGATGTTTTTAAGAAAGTTTTCCTAGGCATTTGAAAGTGAGGGTAAGGAAAGCAAAAATTATATATGAGAGGGAGAACACAAAGAAGAGGCTAGGGGATCTGCAGGTTCAAGTAGAAGTAGGATTGGAAAATGTCAGCTAGAGGCACAGAACAGAAAGGGTTAAAATAGTAGGAGTTGTAATTGTTTTTCACAAGGAGCCTGCCAAATCCCTTCTGGAACTCACTTTGAATACTTTTCAATACTAATGTTTTTCTGTTTTGCTTAATGATTGATAAATGAATTGTTTGAGATTCTGTCACTTAGCCAAAGCCCAGGAGGATAAAGTAGCTTTTTCCCCAGAAAGTTAATCAAAGAAATGCTAAAGGCACAACCATGCACTGCAGTTGCTGCAGTAATTACAGCTGATTATTTTACTAAGAGAAGAGATGTGGCAGTGGGCAGTGTAATGCCAGCCACACACCTAAAGGGACCTGCTACCTGCACAAGGCAGGTGAGCCACCTGGGCAGAGGTTCATCCTTGCTACTTATTCAGTGCTGCCAGTTCTACAACCAGATTCTGAAATTTACTTTTCTCCATGTTATAATCAAGGCTGTTGTGCTGACAAAGAGCATGGTATAGATGCTGCTTTGATTTCAAAGAAACCCTGTACGCGGAATACTACATTACACATGGGAAAGTAGTCAGGCAGTTACTAGTGCATAAGAAGCTTGATTTCTTGGATTACTTTGATTATTTGGATTTTGGAAGGAAAGGTTTTCATGTTAGAAATAAAAAAGAGATATAATGAAGAAGCTAAAGAGAGTAAAATAAAAAAAAGCAATTAAAGGTATCTTGTGTACTAATTTCACTGTTGAATGGAAAACTAAAGAGACACACTGAAGGGGTATGGGTAGGTCAGGCAAAAGTAGTTTTTGTACGATATATATTCCTCATTTTATCTTTTAAAGAATTAGAAGGATCTGTGATGTTGCAGAAATAAAACAAACAAATGAACAAAAACCCCACTCAAAAAAACCAACAGAAAAAATTCCGCAACAAAATTCAGCTGAACTTCTAGCAGTACACATAAAGTAAATCCAATTTCTAAGGACAGCTGTGCTTACTTAAGGAATGTTTAATATTAGCTAGCATAAAGGCTTGAGCAAAACTTATGTCTATTGAGAAGATGAAATCAGCCAGCTAGTAGATGTGGTTACAATTCACACTGCTGGCTAAAACGCTGAAAGGCAGTGAAGATATGAACTGTGCACTGAACAAGGTGAGAAGTGGCACTAAACAGAAACTAATTTTCGTGACAACAGAGCGCTAACAGGCAGCAGAGATTCCAGGCATGCACATGCTTTAACCTGTGAGTTCACCACTTCTCTCTTTAACAAATCTAGATGTATAAGTATCTTAATAATCTTATAATTATTATATTATATATGGTGAGCCAATGAACACCTGAAAATGTAATGGCCATCATAACTAGCAAACCTGTAGTCATTCACAGTCCTCATCTGCTATCCCATTTTGCAACATGCCTTCATATATTTCAATAGGTTTCATAAATTCCATAGCAGAGATGAATTTAACAGCAGAAATTATAACAATGATTTCCACATCTTGTATGAATATTTCTAGATTTTAACGTTTTGGCATAGAAAACAGTGATGTTAAAGACTTAGTTTGTTGAAATTGTTTAGCTTTTATTCTGCACATCTTAAAGTACTACCTTAGTTTATATTGGATTATTGCCCATGGACAATGCAGGTGCATATGAATCAAGACCTTGCTCACAGGCTTGATAAGGTCTCATTATCATGGCCTTCTTAATTCCAAATTCATTATTATTACTTTTTTCATGCATGCATCTCATATATTATGCTTTCCTCCAAAACATATAAGAGCTGCTTAAAGTTTTTCAAATGATTTAACTAAGTTTTGCAGCTATAAAAATAACTGTATGTGGAGCTCTATTTCTCAAACTCCTAGTAGGGGGCAATATGCCTTACAAATCTTAAGCAGCACTGTATACACACACGAACCCCAAAAGCTTTAATTTAAAAGCAGGAGAGAGAATAAGCTGTTGTTCAATACAGAAGGTGGCAGAATTAAACCCTGTGCTTCTATTAGTTTAACAAAAGAGTTGATATTGAAAAAGTAGATATTTTCATCTTCAATTAAAAAACCACTATCTTAATATTGACATAATGCAACAGAAAGCAACTTACAATAATTACAGCTACAGAAAATGATAACCATTCGGAGCATTCAACATACAGATCCATATCAACAGCTTCACAGGGACAGCTTTATCAAGTCAAAAGCAGCACTTACAAAGAGGATATTCTAAATGAGAAAAACATTACTAAAGTAAACAGAATGGCTGGTGTAACTCCCACCACTCTGAAGTGATTTCCATCTGAAGGAAAATTGAAATTTAATTCAGTCTCCATTTTACATGCTATACTGCCTATCATGCTGAAAATTCCTATAACCTGAACACAATCTGCCCTTTGAGAACTACCAATTCTAGTAACACTTGCACAGTATCATCTCAAACTGCTGAAGTGAGTCTAAAATGTGGATCTTGTGGCAACCGAGATAAGGCAGTTCTATATGTACCTTCATTAAATATTTACAGCAAGTATTTATGCAATGTTTAAACTGTTTCTTATTTTTTAATTTCAGCTCATAACTATTAATAGTTACTCTTAAGGCATTAAATACAGAAATATCTGATCCCAACATGCAGGTAGTAATCTTGAGAGACTGAAAAATAATTGCCATGAAATTTAAAATACACTGAGATATCACAGTTCTTTAAAAAAATCCACAGTTGAAGTTTATCAGCTATCTGCTTTGCAATGCTCAAAACAAGAAAGAATATCAGGTACACTTACCCCTGGCACCAATAAGCAAGAACATATAGAAGCAGCAGTTGGATGTCATATCTGTCCTTCAGCAATTCAGTGAATAAAGTCAGTGAATGTTGTCCCTTAAACTGCACACCAGCCAGAGTGCTGCTCGTATGGTCTGCTTCTGACAGCCTTCAGCAGTGTGTGAAGCAAGCTCCCTTCTCTCCCTGCCTTCCGCCCCTACTCTCCTTTGCACTAGGTCTCCCTCGCTCCCCCTTCTCTGGCACACATGCACATGAAGATTTCCAGGATCACACTGGCTCCTTAGGCTCTGCCTTTACAGGATGAGTTCTGTTCTGTGGCAGGCAAAGGCTGTGCTGTATGCATGGACACGGGTCTGCCCCAAGGAAAGAGGTGGCTGCTGCTGCTGCACAAAACACAGCCAGGTCCCAAGAGCTGTCACCAGTAATCCAATTTTTTTCCCCTCCTTTATTTTCTGAAGTTGCAATGTTGTGAGATGTCTGAGAAGTACAGTTTTATTTAGTCAAATCTGTTTGAAACCAAATATTTGCTATAGTTTAGATAAAAACTAGAGGTTTTTCAGCGAAGGGGAAGTGAGATTTATAAATACAGTCCCTTTGTAACAATCCAGTCTCCCACTGAAATACAGAAAAATGTATGATGTAACTTTTTTCCAAGACCAGCGTGTCACTCTTTTTAAGCATTAAATCACTCTTTATGACTAATGCTAAGGAAAACAATCTGAAAGAGCAAACCAGGGTGTTCAGAAACATATTCTTTATGAGAAAAAGTTTTTTTCCCAGATTTTCTTCTTTGAATACATTAAGACATTCCTATCCGGCCCTTGATTTTACTGTCACCAGTAGATCATGGTATGTACCATCACATACACTGTCACATGGTTAAAATCTTTTTTATGATGTGAAGGCTAGCACTCAGTAGCACAGCAAAATATATTTGAAAATGAGTTGGTGAGTAGAGATGAACTTGAGATGAAAAGCTAAATTTTACTAGATTTAACAGCTTGCCAGGATGGCAATGGTCAGGGAGCCCTGGTAACCTGTCAGCAGCTGTGTCAGGTGACTGAGGAAAGGAGCCTCTCAGACCAAGGAAATACGTGCATGCGTGAACACATCCACAGAACAGTGAATTTAGAGAATAGGAAAAATCTATATTATAGTCAAAGTCCACATTGTTGCTATGGTAAAGTTGTCTATAAAATAGGTATTATGAACTGCCAGTCTCTTGATTTCTACTATAAAAGAATACAAAATAGCAAGTGGAATAAAAGAACGTTCTGGTCTATGGAAGCCCCAAGAAGTACATTGACATCTACTGTACCAACAACAGTAATAGGGAGTGTAGATGCAAAAATTGATCAAATGGATATTAGGCACCTATGAAATACCTTTTACAAGGTGAGAACTAGCTTTAGAGCATATCAAGTAAAATCACACTTGCCTCAAACAACTGTTTAAGAGTTAAGCTAACTCCTAAATACTCTAGGGCTTATGGCTGAGCTGAAAAGTGCTTCCAAGGAGAGAAAATAGGGGAAGAAACTGAACAAAGAAAGTGAAGAATAAGCAAAATATACTTTCAAGGAAAAGTAAAATAAGAGCTTTACCTCTTCAGTGAAGGATGAGACAGACCTTACATCCTAAAGAAATTATTTTCTTTCTTACATTCTTTCCTCTGTGGCTTTCTGCTTCTAATCTAGTCACAAGAATTTGAGACGTGTAGGAACCATACGTGTGTTTGGAATAGATCATTTTTACCTGATAATATAATAAATCAAACTTGTTTCTTCTTCAAAAAGCAGTCTGAGTACTACAAAAGTTCAAGATTTTCTACCTTAGAGTAAACAGGGAAACACCCCAAATGTGGTACATATCACTCACATACATATATTTTCTACAGCTCTGCCCCAGTGGGAGTTGTCACTTTTCAGTCTTCCTCTTTTTCAAGGACCTTTAGCAGGGATAATTATTAAAGTTCATTTTGCTGTACACAAACACTCTGCTTATGGAAAATTTACTGAGATCTTCCTTCTTCTAAATTTCTTATACATTAATAATTACACATAAAAATGCAGCAGCAGTTTCCAGCTCATTCTCTCAGTATAATTACATTTAAACCAAGAAGCTAGAGTTACAAACACATTCATTACTGAACTGTGGAATGCAGAGCAGAAAAAGGAGGAGAGACTATCTTTAGAACAATAGTTTTGGCTTACCCTACATGAATGCATTTTTACCTCTTATTAGAAGAAACTTGTCTGTGTATTAGAAAGGCAATAATTACTTCTCACTAAAAAGTAAAAAGCTATGACACGTTGGTGTTTTAGAACTCTCTTTTCAAGAAAGTAGTAAGATTTATATTCTAATTCCATACATGGCAAAGAAATAAGAATTGCATCTATGTTTCAAACAACTTTGAGAAGATATTTGACTTCATTAGGATGGTCAGTATTTGCTTGTATTTCTACTCACAGCAATTTTAAAATTGAAATTCAGTTTAAAGTGTATCTGAGCTATAGGAACTTAGTCGTTAGATCTGTGGGGCCACCCCCCAAACATTTAACAAACATTGTGCCACCACACCACAATCTAAGAGAATACATTAATGAATGGTTTCACAAAACCCCAGTAATTGCTATTATGCTATTGATGAGAGTCATCTCATGTTTCTATTACAAAGTTTTTGAAATCAAATTGAGTGATCAGGGCTTAGCATTAAATAGCTGTAATTATTAGTCACTTTCAAATAAGTTGCTAGTGAAGCTCTAGTACCTTTTAGTCTTTTTCTGTTGTTCACATCAGGTGCTACGTAGAAGGAAACAAATCATAGTTGCATGCATCACCATGGTGAGTGCCAACGTTAAAAATAAATACACACTAAGCTGTAAATCTGCCACTGGAGAAAAAAGTTAGAATTTCTTTTCAGCTTGAAGAAAAAGATCACAGGTTGCAGCTACTCCCTTGGAGGTTAATAGATATTGTTAAGGGTTGGACTAAATGGTCCTTGTGGGTCCCTTCCAACTCAGAATGTTCTGTGATTTACCTCTGTACATCAAACTCTGACTCAATACTCAATGTTACAACTGATAAGCTTCAAAGAGATGCAGTATAGGTAGGAGAAAAGTTGTATCTCTAAGTTTTACTCTACATGGGGCAGATAGTGTGTACAAACTCCACCTGTTACAGTGTTTTTTTCAAGTAAGGAGTAGTCTATATCTCAGATATACTTGTGCTCTTTCCTGTTGTGGCAATTTTCCTTGGTTTAATTAAGAATAATTTCAAGGATGCTTTATGTCATACATCAAAACAAAGACCCAAAAGAATAGGTATTTCAATGGTGATTTTATACCTAAGAGTTCCTTAGTAAGCAAAGCAAATTTTCATCTGAAAATACTGACTAGTTTGTCAGCTGTTTTGCTGTAATAGTGAAATACAAAATGAGCAGGATGAAGCACTGAAAGTGTAACTGGGCCCATGTTGCCATCTGCAGTCATGAAGATTATATATTTTATATTTAGAAGTGATGACTCGAGAAGCAAATCTCCTGCTTTCTCATCCATTTGATGATCAAACTGTAGGTTTTGTATTATAGCCGTATGAATAATTAATGTGCAAATGAACATAATTGGATTAATTATATTTAATTTACACTGCTCTCAAAGCTCTGTCAGTATGCTTTGCAGACAGTGCAACTGAGAACGAGACGTTCATATTTTACAGGACAACTCTTACCTTTGGAAGATATATTCCTCATTTAACATCTGCATCCAGGTTCCTTGAGTTCAGAGCAAAGCAAACTAAAGGACCTCTTAAGAGAACTGTACAAATGTCTAAGCACAGAATGATAAGAAAAGACCTCATTCACAGCAGCTCTTTCCAACCATTAAGCTGTGCTGCAGTACCTTTATCTATCTCATATACTTGTGCCTCAAGCCCTACTGTAAAAATGTGCTACCTTTGATAAAGATTACTCTTCCCCATTTCACAGTTGCAGAGATTTAATAGGATCTACCTCCCAAAACCTGAAGGGCCTAGGACAACCAACCTAATGGGCCAGGAGAACTCTGTAGGCATTTGTGCTGTAGGGCCTCCTGACTTCTCACTTCCCTCTCCAGACCCTTTTTACCTGCACAGCTGCAGCTGAGCTGGGATTACTTCCACCTGTGTTTGGAAAAAGGAGAGAAACTTTTTCTGTTGGAAAAACCACCTGAGCTAGATATTCTCTCCTGAAGGGCTTTATTACAGGAACAGTACAGGGTTTTTTCCCCCCAGTATATATGTGTATACACCAAGAGTTTCAAAACAGAAACCAGTTCTGCAAACCCTATTTTAAGCTAAAGCAAATGTACAAAATTTGGCTCTAGTGACAGCTGACAGCTGCAGAGTGATCATAACTCCCTTGGTAGGTCTCAGGTTGTAGCTACGGAGGGGAACACAGAAAAAGAGTTTCATTTTTCCACGGAAAAAAGGCAGACAGAAGAGGAGGGATTCATGGATGACTATTTGTCCCTTACACATCTTTTCTGGTCTGTAGATGGGACACTATCTTGGCTGTAGACAATGGTGTAAAAGCAGCAACATCTAGCTAGCTGTGAGCTCCTTGAAATACTTTTCTTTCTTCTGTGAAAGGTACTCTCTGCTGCTGGGTGCTCTGGTGACCCTATCCAGCTGTCCCAGAGGTGTGGAGAAAGGCCATAGTCAAAGCAAACTTGTTCATCACCTCCCTGTTTTCTTTTCATTTTCTCCTGTTTCCTCCAGCTGTTTGTTCCAGCTGGATATTTTGACTAAATCAAATAAAATCTCACTACTGTTCCTGACTCAAATTTGCAGCTGGAATGTAGAAAGTACATTTCTTTCAAAATATCAAACATATAAGCTTTGCTAATGATACGTTTTCCTAATCAGCCATTTCCAGTCTTTTGACTGATTAAAGAGTGTAACACGATTTCTATGACTGTATATGATTCCAGACATGATGTTATTGGCTTTTGTAAGTTATTAAATTGTTTGGAAGTGTCATAGGATCTGTATATGACATCCTGCTTTTTCAGTGTTACTTTTTAGGAGTTATCCCTTTCTGTCATATTTTAATAATATTAAATAATTGCAGTTTTTGTTTTAAATCACCTAAGCTTCTAGAAGAAAAGGCAGACTTCTCAGACATTTATAGCTGAATATGCAATAA